AGAATTATCTGACCTGTGAAAACGGAGCTTTTAGACCCAAGAACACGGAGCTATGAGACCTGAGAACATGGAGCAATCAGACCTGTGAACATGGAGCTAACAGACCTGAGAACATGGCGCTATCAGACCCGAGAACACGGCGCTATCATACCTCAGAACACGGAACTATCACACCGAGAACACAGAACTATCATACTAGAAAACACGGAAATATAAGACCCCGAGAACACGGAACTGTCAGACCTGAGAACACAGCGCTATCAGACCCAAGAACACGGCGCTATCAAACGCAAGAACACAGAGCTATCATACCTCAGAACATGGAGCTATCAGACCCGAGAACACGGAGCTATCATACCTCAGAACATGGAGCTATCAGACCCGAGAACACGGAACTATCAGAACCGAGAACACGGAACTGTCATAGCTTGAACATGGAGAAATCAGACCTGGAAGACGGAGCTATCAGACCTGAGAACACGGAGCTACAAAACCTTAGAACATAGAACTATCAGGCCTGACAACATGGAGCTACCGTACTTGAAAACACGAAGCTACTAGACCTGAGAACACAGAACTTTCAGACCTGAATCACGGAGCTATTAGACATGAGAATATGGTGCTTCCAGACCTGAGAACATGGAGCTAGCAGACCTGAGAGCATGGAGTTATCAGGCCTGAGAACATGGATCTACTGTACCTGAGAACACGGAGCTACAAGACCTGAGAACATGGAGCTATCAGACCTAGAACCCACAGCTATCAGATCTGAGAACACAGAGCTATCAGACCTGGAACATGGAGCTATCAGACCTGAGAACATGGAGCTAACAGACCTGAAAAAGCAGAGCTATCAGACCTAGAACATGGAGCTTTAAGAAAATGAACACAGAGCTATCAGACTTGAAACACGGAGCTATCAGACCCGAGAATATGAAGCTGACAGACCTGAGAAGATGGAGCTTCTAGACTTGAGAACACAGAGCTACCAGACCTGGAGCATGGAGCTATCAAACCTGAGAACATGGAGCTATCAGACCTGAGAACACGGAGCTATCAGACCTGAGAACACGGAGCTATCAGACCTGAGAACACGGAGCTATCAGACCTCGAACACGGAGCTAGCAGACCTGAGAACATGGAGCTAGCAGACCTGAGAACATGGAGCTAGCAGACCTGAGAACACAGAGCTATCAGACCTGGAACACGAAGCTATCAGACCTGGAACACGGAGCTATCAGACCTGAGAACATGGAGCTTCCAGACCTGAGAAAGTAGAGCTATCAGACCATGAACACAGAGCTATCAGACTTGAAACATGGAGCTATCAGACCTGAGAACACGGAGCTATCAGACCTGGAACACGGAGCTAGCAGACCTGAGAACATGGAGCTAGCAGACCTGAGAACATGGAGCTAGCAGACCTGAGAACACAGAGCTATCAGACCTGGAACACGAAGCTATCAGACCTGGAACACGGAGCTATCAGACCTGAGAACATGGAGCTTCCAGACCTGAGAAAGTAGAGCTATCAGACCATGAACACATAGCTATAAGACTTGAAACATGGAGCTATCAGACCTGAAAACATGGAGCTGACAGACCTGAGAACATTGAGATAGCAGACCTGAGAACATGGAGCTATCAGACCTGAAATTATGGAGCTACCAGACCTGAGAACATGGAGCTACCAGACCTGAGAACACAGAGCTATCAGACCCTGAACACAGAGCTATCAGACCTGTAACATGGAGCTATCAGACCTTTAACATGCAGCTATAATACCTTGAACACAGAGCTATCAGACCAGTAACATGGCGTTATAAGACATGGCACATGGAGCTATCAGACCTGAGAACATAGAGCTACCAGACCCGAGATCATGGAGCTTTCAGACCCGAAAACACAGAGCTATCAGACCCGAGAACACGGAGCTACCAGACCTGAGAAATCGGGAGCGATCATACCTGAGAACACATAGTCACATAGTTACGTAGTCTGGCTGAAAAAAGAGAAATGTCCATCCAGTTCAACCATAAAAAAAAACACGGCGCTATCATACCTGAGAACATGTAGCGGTCACACCTGAGAATACGGGGCTATTAGATCTAACAACACAGAACAATCACAGCTGAGAACACGGAGCTATCAGACATAAGATCACGGAGCTATCAAACCAGGAATATGGAACTATCAGACATGGCACATGGAGCTATTAGACCTGAGAACATGGAGCTGTAACGGAAGCGCGCAGGCAGGACAGAGAACACGGAGAAGATGGGGAACACACAAAACTTTATTGTAGCAACAAAAGGACAGACACTCAATGGGGAAATGGCAGGGAGGGGGACGTGTGCACAAACCAGGGACGATTCCAGGCACGGGGGGTCTTCAGCGACAGGCAGGCAATCTCCACCCTAGGCTTGGGGCCTCAGCCGAGCTCCCTCCGTGACTGGAAAGTGGATTGGAGACTCGGGCAACAGGCGGCAACCTACCACTGAGCAGGGGTCTCGGGCAACAGGCGGCAACCTACCACTGGGCAGGGGTCTCGGGCAACAGGCGGCAACCTACCACTGGGCAGGGGTCTCGGGCAACAGGTGGCAATCTACCACTGGGCAGGGGTCTCGGACAACAGGTGGCAATCTACCACTGGGCAGGGGTCTCGGGCAACAGGCGGCAACCTACCACTGGGCAGGGGCCTCGGGCAACAGGCGGCAATCTACCCCTGGGCAGGGGTCTCGGGCAACAGGCGGCAACCTGCCACTGGGCAGGGGCCTCGGGCAACAGGCGGCAACCTACCACTGGGCAGGGGCCTCGGGCAACAGACAGCAACCTACCCTGGGGCAGGGGTCTCAGGAACTCAACGGGACTCTAGCTGTGGAGTCTGGCCTCAGCACAGCTCCCACCCAGCTTTCTAGGGACATTGGGTTCACGGGGACTCAACGGGTAGCGATGGCTCAAGCACTCAGGGGCACCACAGGTAGCTATACTCCGGGCATGCCATCAGGACACGGGTGGTCAGTGCACACAGCGGGGCAGTTCGGAACATGGGTGGTCGGAGCACACAGCAGGGACAGTTCAGGACACGAGTGGTCGGTGCACACACCGGGGACACTTCAGAACACGGGTGGTCGGTGCACACAGCGGGGACAGTTCAGAACACGGGTGGTTGGTGCAAACAGCGGGGACAGTTCAGGACACAGGTGGTCAGTGCACACAACAGGGACAGTTCAGGACACAGGTGGTCGGTGCACACAGCAGGGACAATTCAGGACACAGGTGGTCAGTGCACACAACAGGGACAGTTCAGGACACAGGTGGTCGGTGCACACAGCAGGGACAATTCAGGACACAGGTGGTCAGTGCGCACAACAGGGACAGTTCAGGACACAGGTGGTCAGTGCACACAACAGGGACAGTTCAGGACACGGGTGGTCGGTGCACACAGCGGGGACAGTTCAGGACATAGGTGGTGGTCAGTGCGCACAACAGGGACAGTTCAGGACACGGGTGGTCAGTGCGCACAACAGGAACAGTTCAGGACACGGGGTGGTCAGTGCGCACAACAGGGACAGTTCAGGACACTCACGATAAGCAGCTTGCAGACCCTCAGCGGCAGGCGGCTCCAGACAGGGACGACCAGCGGTCAGCGTTCCAGGGACAACCAGCGATCAGCAGACAGCAGCAGCTCCCCGGGCACTTAACAGCGGACGGCTTCCAGGGACACGCAGCCACGGACAGTGTGCCGGGTCCCTCAGCAGCAGCTCCCAGGGCACTCAGCAGCAGACAGCCTCCAGGGACACACAGCCACGGATAGTATGCAGGGTCCCTCAGCAGCAGCTCCCAGGGCACTCAGCAGCAAACAGGGTGAAGGGGTGCTCAGTAGACAGGCTTACAGACTTGCGGGGTCTGGCAGGGTCTCAGCTGTGGAGTCTGACCTTTGAGGAGAAGGCTCATGCAGAGCTGTGGAGACTCCCAACCCTGGGGTATTGCAGAGGGCTACAGTCCTGACCTTTTGGGGGTCTGCAGAGTGCGCAGGGGGGATGGCTGGGGAGGCTCGGTCTCCCTCACCCGAGCCTCCCAGCATCTTTCTGGGAGCAAGATGATTCCAGCAGCATGGACAGGAACAGAGAGAGAAGGGCTGCTTCCTGTGCGGGTCTTTTGAAAACCATGTGGGACACAACTTGGTTGCCTTGGCAACGGCCAGCCCAGCCCTGTCCATGGAAGCTCCACAGACATTGGAATGTGCAAGGGGGAAGGGAGGGGTGGAGAGATATGGCGGGGGATGGGAGAGGCACTGGCAGTCGCTTTCCGATCTGAGAACATTGAGCTATCAGACTTGAGAACATGGAGCTGTTAGACCTGAGAACACAGAGCTATAATATGTGGAAACACGAAGCTATCAGACAGAAGAACATGGAGCTATCATTCCTGAGAACATGGAGCTATAAGACCTGAGAAAATGGATCTATCATAACTTAGAACACGGAGCTATCAGACCTGGAACACAGAGCTATCAGACCTGGAACACGGAGCTATCAGACCTGGAACATGAAGCTATTAGACCGAGAACACTGAGCTATCAGACCTATTAGGATGGAGCTATCATACCTGAGAACACGGAGCTATCAGACCTGAGAACACGGAGCTATCAGACCTGAGAACACGGAGCTATCAGACCTGAGAAGATGGAGCTACTAGACCTGAGAATACAGAGCTATCAAAGCTTGAACACAAAGCTATCAGAAACGAGAATACGGAGCTATCATACATGAGAACATGGAGCTTTAAGACCTGAAAACACGGAGCTATCAGACCTAAGAACACGGAGCTATCAGACCTGAGAACACGGAGCTATCAGACCTAAGAACATGGAGCAATCAGACCTGGAACACAGAGCTCTCAGACCTGAGAACATGGAGCTATCAGACATGAGAACACGGAGCTGTTAGACCTGAGAAGATGGAGCTACCAAACCTGAGAACACGGAATTATCAAACCTGGAACATGAAGCGATCAGACCTGAGAACATGGGGCTTTCAGACCCAAGAACACGGAGCTATCAGACCTGAGACCACGGAGCTATCAGACCTGAGAGCACAGAGCTATCAGACCTGTAACATGGAGCTATCAGACATGGAACATGGAACTATCAGACCAGAGAACACGGAGCTATCAGACCTGAGAACACGGAGCTAGCAATCCTGAGAACACGGTATTATCAGACCTGAGAACACGGAGCTATAAAACCTGAGAACACGGAGCTATCAGACCTGAGAACACAGAGCTATTAGACCTGAGAACACGGAGGTTTCAAACCTGGGAACACAGAGATATCAAACCTGAGAACATGGAGCTTTTAGACCTTCAAACACGTAGCTACTAGACCTGAGAACTCAGAGCTATCAGGCCCAAGAACATTGAGCTATAAGAACAGAGGACACAAAACTATTAAATCTTAGAACATGGAGTTATCAGACCTGAGAATAGGGAGCTATCAGACCTGGAACATGGAGCTATCATACCTGTGAATGCAGAGCTATCAGACCTGAGAACATGTAGCTATCAGACCTGAGAACACGGAGCTATCAGACCTGAGAACACGGAGCTATCAGACCTGAGAACACTGAGCTATCAGACATGAGAACACAGAGCTATCAGACCTGAGAACATGGAGCTACCAGATCTGAGAACACGGATCTATCATACATAAGAACATGGAGCTATCAGACCTGAGAACACGGAGCTATCAGACCTGAGAACACGGAGCTATCAGACCTGAGAACACGGAGCTATAATACCTGAGAACACGGACCTATCAGACCTGGAATATGGAGCTATCAGACCTTGAACACGGAGCTACCAGACCCAGAAAATGGAGCTAATAGACCTGGAACATGGAGCTTTCAGACCTGAGAAAATGGAGCTCTCAGACCTGGAACACAGAGCTCTCAGACCTGAGAACACAGAGCTATCTTAAGTGAAAACACAGAGCTATGATAAGTGAGAACACAGAGCTATCAGACCTGAGAACACGGAGCTATCAGACTTGAGAACACGGAGCTATCAGACCTGAGAAGATGGAGCTATAAGCCCTGAGAACATGGAGCTATGATACCTGAGAACATGCCGCTATCAATCCTGAGAACACAGAGCTATTAGACCTGAGAACTCGGAGCTATCAGACCCAAGAACATTGAGCTAACAGACCCAATAACACGGAACTATCAGACCTGAGAACACAGAGCTACCATACCTGAGAACATTGAGCTATCAGACCTGAAAACACAGAGCTATCATACCTGAGAAAACAGAGCTATCAGACCTGAGAACACAGAGCTATCATACCTGAGAACATGGAGCTATCAGACTTGAGAACACAGAGCTATAAGACCTGAGAACACAGAGCTATCAGACCTGAAACACGGAGCTATCAGAATCTGAACACAAAGCTATCAGACCTGGAACATTGAGCTATAAAACCTGAGAACATTCAGCTATAAGACCTGAGAACAAGGCGCTATCATACTTGTGAATGCGGAGCTATCAGACTTGAGAACATGGAGCTGTCAGACTTGAGAACATGGAGCTATAATTCATGAGAACACGGAGATATCAGACCTGAGAACACGGAGCTATAAGACCTAAAACATGGAGCTATCAGACCTGAGAACACAGAGCTATAAGACCTGGAACATGGAGCTATCATACCTGAAAACACGGAGCTATCACACCTGAGAACACGGAGCTATCATACATGAGAACATGGAGCTATAAGACCTGAGAACATGGAGCTATCAGACCTGAGAACATGGAGCTATCAGACCTGGAACTCTGAGCTCTCAGACCTGAGAAAACGGAGCTATCATACCTGAGAACATGGAGCTATCAGACATGAGAACATGGAGCTGTTAGACCTGAGAAGATGGAGCTACCAAACCTGAGAACACAGAGCTAACAGGCCTAAGAAGATTGAGCTACCAGACCTGAGAACTCTGAGTTATCAGACCTGGAACATGAAGCGATCAGACCTGAGAACACGGAGTTATCAGACCTGAGAACATGGAGCTACCAGATCTGAGAACACGGAGCTACCAGATTTGAGAACACGGAGCTATCATACATAAGAACACGGAGCTTTTAGACCTGAGAACATGGAGCTATAATACCTGAGAACATGGAGCTATCAGACCTGAGAACACGGAGCTATCAGACATGAGACTATGGAGCTATCAAACCTGAGAACACAGAGCTACTAGACCTGAGAACATGGAGCAATGAGACCTGAGAACACGGAGCTATCAATCCTGAGAACACAGAGCTATCAATCTTGAGAACACGGAGCTATCAGACCTGAGAACATGGAGCTAAAAATACCTGAGAACATGGAGCTATCAGACCTGAGAACACGGAGCTATCAGACATGAGACTATGGAGCTATCAAACCTGAGAACACAGAGCTACTAGACCTGAGAACACGGAGCTATCAGACCTGAGAACACAGAGCTATAAGACCTGAGAACACGGAGCTATAAGACCTGAGAACAGGGAGCTATCAGACCTGGAACATTGAGCTATAAAACCTGAGAACATGGAGCTATAAGACCTGAGAACATGGAGCTATCAGAGCTGAGAACACGGCGCTATCATACCTGTGAATGCGGAGCTATCAGACCTGAGAACATGGAGCTGTCAGACTTGAGAACATGGAGCTATAATCCATGAGAACACAGAGCTATCAGACCTGGAACATGGAGCTATCAAACCTGAGAACACGGAGCTATCATACCTGAGAACACGGAGCTATCATACATGAGAACATGGAGCTATAAGACCTGAAAACACAAAGCTATCAGACCTGAGAACACGGA